ACGAATGAGATTGTTTGATTAATGTATAAACTAAGGATGTAGCATGAAGTTTCTAATAAAGACTATAATATGGATAATGAAAGAAATTACTGTTCAAAACACATGTTAAATTAAGAGTAAAGCTTCGCTAATAATATTCAGGTTTATATAAATTTACCCGCTTTATGCGTATTTATCCATTCTATAAATACATGATAAATTTTTTGTATATTTATTAGTTTAAAAGCTTTTTTCTATGAAGCTTTTCATTTTCTAGCAGATTGTATTAAATCGATGAATTTTTTTAAAAAAATACGTAATTTAATTGGTTAATTACAATATCACGGGCAATCACAAGTAGATCTATAAAAATCAACCAATCAGACGAATGTCCTATAACGTCTACAGTTGGAATTTTCCATTATATTTAGTCTTTTTTTATTAAACTCAGCCATAATTCTAAAATGTAGAAAAATTTAGTTAACCACGATTATATACGTAACATGATATGTGACACCAATATAATTATAGTACTTAGGTGCATAAAAACGTAAGAATATCATATGAATGCTCAAGAGCGAAAATCAGTGAGTAAAAATTTATCCCCTGAAGAATTGATTTAGGTAGTATTCCCAGTCACCCCTGTAATTTTTTACCCAGAATAAAACTGTGTTGTAGTTTGGATTAGGGTTAAAATAACTTCATTCTTAATAATAAAATTTCACGATGAGCATTTTTAATTAGACCATAAAAGGTGGTTTCTTAATTAAAATTTCGAGTTATTTCGGTTTCTTTGTAAAAAGGTTGTTTCGCTTCGATTGCTTACGTTGAACCTGATCTTGTAATTTGGTTGGTCAAAATCACGGCTAACAATTTTTGTGGGGGAGGCAATTAATCATGCAGTATATACGTATGGACTAAGTGCTGCAAAAAGGGGATAAATTGACAAAAAAACGATCTTCGCAAAAGTCAATTTTTATGTTACATTAGACTGATATGGGACGCCCTAATCGAACACCCCAACGAATGTTACATGATATGCATTGTTTGATTGTCCAAATTTTGATTTAAAAGGAAATAAAGATGTCATAGATTGGTTGCGTTAAACAGCGCCCGCACTTGTGTGATGCCCTTTATATAAGCATATACCTTTGTCAGGAACTTCTGTTTCTGGTTCAATCTCACCTGACGATGAAGCTATTACTACTTATACTGTGCTACAAGTCCAGAAATCGAAGAAAAAATTATCATGAATATTTTGAACCATTTGGTAAAGAAAGCGAACGATCTTCATATGCTAAAGATGACGATTTGACTAAAAAAAAACTTTGGGAATTTACTGAGAATTTGATAAATGAAAACATTACCAAAAAATTAATTGATTTATTCATTAAATAATTTTGATAGCCCTTTTTCTGTTATAATAATAGCTAAATGAAATATCATGTAATCTATTATTAATTAGTAGATATCTAATAAATTTTGATAACAAATAAAAGATTAAAATAGATCATAATCTTTATGTTACTTTATGATTATTTTATATAAAATTTTGCAACAAAATATTTATGAATTAGTAAAAAAAAAAAATTCTTTTATTAATAAAAAGGAGAAAACTGAAAAAAAAGAAAATTACAATGGATAAAACGTCAGAATGCGATAGTAGTGTTATTTATATGCTAAAATTACGTAGTGTAAAAATACAAAGGTGATAGTGAACCATCTAATATTATATGCCAAAAATATATATAAATGTGGTGGTAAACCATCTAAATATTAAATTATAATCTAATTTAAATTCTCTGTTACTATTTTCTAAAATGAAAGCTTGTTTGTTTAATCTAGCCAAATAACTAATCTTAGTCTTAAAACATAACCACAATATAAGAACATTTATTAATCATTGGAATTAAAAAAGCAAGTTCACAAATCAAGATCATAAATATTCCTATTCGATAATTGCTCTTTAAAATTTTGCATACTTTCATTATTAGCAGCTGATAGGATGCCGTGGTTCTGTCCTTACATCAAAATTAAGTTCTTATAAAAGTGTAAGCATGTGCAGATGACATACCAATTGCTACCCACTCATAGGATCAAATCGTTTGTTTTGTTTTCCATTTATCAACATTTATAGGAAGTAGGTTAATGGATCTTGTGCTATTATGGAGAGAATTTTCTTAAGAGCCACTTTATCTTTTTTAAGGACTTCATCCTTCAAAAATACATGTGAAACTGAAGGAATGCCTTCCACATCATTCAATACTTATATTTTTTTTTATAAATTCTGCTCTACCATCTATTTTATTTATATTTCTTCAAGACAAATTTTCTCTTTTCAAGAAACGATATGGAAAGCCTGCACTATAAGCAAGCTTGACTGAAAGATGATTTCGAGTATCGAAATCATTTTTTATAGAAGCATATACCATTTTAGCAAAAAGAACTTTAGTTCCCACTTATTTAGAGTTTCTTCTACTGACATTAAAGTTGAATTTCCAAAGATTGAATAGAGTTGGTTAAAAATAACATCTACGATTTCTTTTTTTGTTTCTTTCGAGTGGTGTGCAATTATATTCAACAATGTATCGGTCTGTGCTCCTTTTCAATGTCTATAGCTTTACATTCTTCTTGTAATCGATACCTGGTATACTAATTTTAAAATATATATTTAGATTAATAATCCATCAAATTTGTGATGTTTTATGTCTGGAATAATTTGTCCGATCCTAGTTAAATAAAAAAACAATCAGAATAATCAAATGTTAATAATTTAAATTTTATAAATAATTATCAATTAGTCAAAGATTATTAAAGAAGTCAATATAAATATTAACACACATACATACGTATCTATATTTTTTTTATACCAAGCCTTACACTGTATTGCGACTACAAAGCCACAAATTTTACCAATGATGTCTATTCCCCTTTATCACCAGATTTTCTAAATTAATAATTAAGATGAACACATGCATCATCATTAGATATGCCTGCTGCAAAGCCACACTTTGTGTCTCTTTAGAATTAGTTGCAACTTTTGCTAACCCTCTTTTTGCTGCAAAAGATGTAAGATTGCAGAGTTACAGGATCGAAATCTATGTAATTATCGTTATTAATAAAATGAATATCAAAATTAATGTTATCTTTATTATGTAGATTACGTATAATTTAAATTTTATTTTATAAAATATAGTATATTAACTAGGGATGTTATCCTGCTTAAATCAGCTAGTTTGTGCGTTCAAACACTGTTTGGGAAACACATACGTAAACTGGGTTTCAAAATCTGCTTTAAATTATTTATATGCATATACTATTAATTATGCATGCCTGAACATGTTAATTTAAAACCTGCTGTATATTTATTTATTATATAAATATATTATGTATACATTTCGCAGTGATTTATTGACCCTCATGTATTCAATCATACACGATTCATTTCACGTTTTCAAACAAAGGCTTGCGCCAATATTTTCTTCAGATCTATATGGCTCAACATTCGTTTTATTAATATTCTTATTAATTCATTCTACTTATCCAGCTGATTACGTTTAAAATGCGTATTATCGTTGAAAAACCTGTATTCATTGAAGAGGCTTGATTGCAATGTTTGCAATATTACTTGTCGTCACTTTCAATAAGCTCATCCCAGAAGGGACCAGTTTTAAATCGTTTTGAGGGACGATTTGTTGTGTATGCTGAGATAATGTTGAAATCGATGTGGAGGTAAGTTCATTTATATTATTAGGTTGTTCGAGTGTGCTTTCTTCGTTCATCATATGAGGATAAGGAAAAAAAAATGTTACACATTTATAGCAATTGAAAATTTTTCTACAAAGAGATACTTATTTTTTTTTAAAAAAAAAAAAAGCATAATTTTAATTAAAAAATAATATGAAAACTCATTTATATCATTTATGTCATGGAAATTAACTTTTTATTTAAAAAAAATTATCATGAAACATTTTGTTTAAGAAATCGATTTCGAACCCGATTTGAGCACTATCGCTATGAGCGGTACTGAGTTTAAAAGTTCCTAATTGAAATCACGTGATTAAAGAAACACATGTTTAACGGGTTTGGGTTTCAAACAGGCCCGAACTGAGTTTGGGCAAGCAGGATAACATCCCTAGTATTTAGCTTGTGAGAAAGCGTATGGAAAAATTGTTCTTGTCAACCAATAAATCAAATAAAAATATAAAAAAGGTTCTAGACATAAAGATATTGCACGAATAAGTGCTATTATTAAAATTTTGTTACGAAAGCTTTTCAATAATCCATATCTTAGTGTTGAGAACCCGACTTGTTAACACCTAAGCGTTTGGCAATTTTTCGAAATGATAGGCTTTCTGAAAATTTTTTAATTATTTTCTAGCGAAGCTGCTTAGTAACATATTTCTGCATTCAACCTAGAAGTGCAAACATTCACGCAATAAGGTCGTAACTAGTGACGACAATATGTCTGTAGCTTTGATTCAATCAGAGGTACGGTATTCGTATAACTGTATAACTGATAATGTTTATATTAGTCACGTGTGTACGTATAGGGTTGAGAAATTATTGTAATTTGTAATTTTTGCGTAAGATTAGGTACCGGTAATTGTAATTGTAATTTGATTTGAGGAGTTAAAATTCGGATCATCAAATAGTACAATAACTCAGGTCAAACTTTTGTAAAGCCGGTGCTTTATATGCACCCAGAAAATGTGTACCAGGTTGGGATCGGAAAGATAGGTCGGAATTAGTGTTCCGCAGAACCGAACCGAAGATCTGGAACCGACCGGAACCGACCCCCGATTCGGGTCCGGATCCATCATTGTTAGAATAATTTCGGTTCCGGGTCTCGATCTATACCCG